GCTCAGCCTCACTAATCATCCAAGAAATGTAAATCAAAATCACACTGAGATACCACCTAACTGCAATCAGGATGGCCATCATTAGTGACTTAAGAAACAACATATGCTGGAGAGGATGTGGAGAAAAGGGAATGCTTCTACACTGGGAGTGTAAACTAGTACAGCCTCTGTGGAAAACTGTGGCGATTTCTGAAAGATATAAAAATCAACCTTTCATATAACCCAGCAGTCCCCCTTCTGGGAATATACCCAGAGGAACTCAAATCATTCTACAAAAATGATACCTGTGCATGCATGTTTATTGCAGCACTATTCACAATAGCAAAAACATGGAACCAACCATGCTGCCTATCGAAAGTGGACTGGATAAAAAAAAAATGTGGTGCATATACATGATGGAATATTACACAGCCATAAAGAAGGACAAAATTATGGACTTTGCAGCAACTTGGATGGATTTAGATTCCATCATACTCAGTGACCTATCACAGAAACAAAGAATTGAGTACCACATATTCTCACTCATAAGTGAACCCTGAACATTTATCATAATACTGCATGAAAGGGATTGGCAGTAGTGGTTCACTGCCAGGGAAGGGCATATAACACTAATAAGGGTACCTGATCCCAAACCAGTCGAAATGAGGATGAATGGGAGGCCCAAACTTCATCTGTACATTGACCACTTATGCACCCAACCCTGAATTGTACCCCATGTCTTTAAAATAAATAAATAAACACTAAAAAGAAACAACTGGTGTTTAAAACTTTATAGTGCAACATAAAAGCAAAGAGACAGAAAAATACATACATATAAAACAAATATTTGGCAAGAACCTGTGTCATTGAAATAGATAAGGTGTGAATACTTAAAGTCATATTTAAAAAATATATATACATATATATATGTATATATATGGATTCCCCAGATTGCAATGCCATTTGCATTCTTACGTCTGTCTTTTCTTGTGCTTCCAGAATTAGTGTCACAGTTTGCTACTGCCTACCCCTAAAATGGTCACACTTTTCTCTTTTATATTATTCCTTCTGTTCCTGTAAACCAAGAAACCACAGCTTGTTACAGTTTTGTAAAATGAGAGTCTGTAGGGTCTGAATGAAAGCCTGAGGGTGAGCAGCTTGGCTTCCTTGGTCATCTGTGTGTTAGGTATTCAAATGATGAGCAAGTGATTAAATAAATGGCATTAATTTTGGTATTTCAGAAGTCTTTTTTGTTTCTTTTTTTTTATCCTCAACTGGAGTCTTAACATAACCAATCACTGGATAAAATACTTCTAGATAAATGAATGATTGCAAAATACGCCATGTATACATGTATAATATTTTATTTGAAACACTTCATGATTAAAATACTTCATAAAAGTTATTGGAAAAAAAGGAATATGAAATTTGTGGTAAAGAGTCATGACATTACCCAGAAATGTACTACTCATATTCTTTCTGTAGTGTGTAAAATAAAAAGAAAGTTGTGTTTTTAGAGGATTTATTGAGTTAATTTTAAAATGTGGCTGATTGAACACATAAATTACAGCTCTCTCTCTAATCCCACTAATGTTATAGTAAGTAGATAAAATTATAACCCCTTAAAAGGCACAGGAAGGAAAGGAAAGCAAATATTTTTTAATCGGGAAAGTACATGATTGAAAGACAGTTGCCTAAAAGCCAAAGCCAAAACTAGCAAGAAGAATACCAGAAGAAAATTTGTGCCACAGAATTTCAGAAACTTAAAGAATTAGAGTTAATTGCTTATCTCAGAAAATGCGGGTGCAGGTGAGGCTGAAAATAGGGGAATTTGTTGAAAGGCTAAATAAGAGATAGTTTAGATAACCTAGGCCCCATCTGTTAAATGTACAGCCAAGTGACTGCCCTTTTCCAACCCTCATAGTTTGAACCAAAGTTACTCAGGACATGGGGACACCAGACACAGCTGTACAAAACCAGAATGATTCTGTGAAAACCTATTCCCAGACCAGTGAGACACTGAGCCCCCTTATCCTGTGAACCTCTGAGAAAATGATTACCATGTCATATACTTTTGGTTTGGAGGATATAAGCTTCCATTCTAGATAGTAAAATTAACTGTCCTGGGAGGATAGACCTATAAATATTGAAAGTTGGGATCCTCCAGTGGAAAAGCTGGTTCTCTGCCTAATCACCCAAATTGAAGCCCCTCACCCAGAAGTTTGTATCCAGCTTGTGATTCAGACTGTGATACACCAATTGATGTATCTGTTTATCAGTCAAAGTATGAACAAAAAGCCCGACACATTTGAAGAAAGCCTCCAACCTGAAATACAGAGAAAGAACTTAAAGGAAACAGAGACAGTGTAAGAAACAGAAGAAAATCTTTTTAAAAAGTGTAATTTCACGAAGATGAGAAGATACCGCATCTGTTAAATAAAAGTAAGATACTATAAAACCAAAACATACAGGGAACCAAAAAGAACTCTTGCAAATAAAAAATATAATTGGTGAACCACAAAAAACTCAGTAGAAGGAATGGGGGAAAGTTGATGAAATCTTCAAAGAAATAAGACAAAGCACACAAAAAAATAAAAAGCAAGAGAGAAAATAACCACAACTCTAAGATAAAAATTTAAAAAACATAGAGGCTCAATCCACATTCAAAATCTAACAGAAAATGAAATGGGAGGAAATTAGCAAATAAAAAGTACAAGAAATTTTCCCAGAAAATTACTTTCGTCTCTAAAAGGCCACTGAATTTTCCCAAAGTAAATATACCAAGGCACTGGAAATCAGGGATAAGAAGTTCTTAAGTTTCTAGAGAGTTTCTAAGTTTCTACAAGGCATGTGTAAAAACATTAGGCATTATAGACTTGTCAACAGAAGTGCTTGAAGTAGAAACAATGGAGTGATCCTTCAAAACGAAATGAAAATTGGTTCTAACCAAGAATTTTATATCCAAACCATCAGTCAAGTTTAAGGATAGAATAAAAATATTTTCAGACATACAAAACTTCAAAATGTTTCTTTCCATGCACTGCTTCTTAAGAAGTGTCTGAAATATATCCTACAACAAATGAGAGAATTATATGGAAGAAAAGACATGGGATCTAAGAAACAGGCATCTAACCCAGGGGAGAAGTGAAAGAGCTCTTAGGATAAAGATGAAGGGTAATCTCAAAATGAGAACTGTGTAGTAGACCAAGAGAACAACCAGTCCAGATTAGAGCAAAAGGTTGGCAAATTTCAGGAAGAATCGTCTCCACTGGGGGAAGAAATAGAATCGACAGTCCCTGATGTGTTTGAGCTTGAGAGGAAATATTATTTTAACCAAAAAGATTGACAATGACTTAATGATACATAAATAGGAAATTCAACATATGAAAAAAAAGTTATTTCAGTGAAACCAAAAAGTTGACAAGAAGGTAAATATAATTATCATTTACTAAATAGATTAACTGTGAATATTTACATATTCATAATAAAAAAACAAGGACTATTACTATGCAATCAATCATGTTGTGTATGAGTTGTCCTGTTTCGCCCTCTTTTTTTTAATACATATTATTTTAAAATTGCGGGGTACAGTTAAGGGTTAGGTATACAAGTATGCATTGTGCAGGTATCCTTGTTGATGAGGTGTGCCTCCCCGTCCCCAGACAGATATTGACTACTGTTAATCCCACCTCCCTTTCCCTCCCTGCCCCCCCATAGTTTCCCGCCACTGTCAATCCTTTTCTTACAGTATTACGATAATTGTTCAAGTGAGAACATGTGATACTCAGATCTTTGTTTCTGTGAGAGATCACTCAGTATTATAAACTCTAATTCCATCCAGATTGCTGCGAAATTCATGGTTTTGTTCTTTTTTATGGCTGTGTAATATTCCATTGTGTATATGTACCACATTTTTAAAATCCAGTCCTCTTTTGATGGACAGCATGGTTGTTTCCATGATCTTGCTATTGTGAACAGTGCTGCGATAAACATATGTGTGCAGGTATCTTTTTTATAGAGTGATTTGTGTTCTTCAGGGTATATTCCCAGAAGGGAGATTGCATCCCCCTCTCTTTTTGAGTACATGATATGAGACATTTCAGGTGCCCTTGTGGTTGGGTTGAACTACGTGACTAGACCTGACCAATAAGTTGCTTATGTTTATAAAGCTCCCTTTGGATCCAAATGATCATTATTCCAATATCTTTTTATAGAATTGGTACGGGTAGAGTGAACATAAGACAAAAGCTACTTGTCCTAAGCAAGCACATTTGTGGAATTTAATAGTATACCAAATATTTTCCCATTTGTCTTATTTGAACTTCAGAGTAGTCCTGGGTGGTCGGGACTTGCAGAAAGCAAGAAACTTAGGTCATATAGCCACAGAGCCAGAATCCAAGCCCCCGGGTTCTGGATCCAGTCTCCAACTTTTAACAACTACATTAGTTTCTGTAAACTGGACACAGAGAGAGAGCTGAATGTGACCCTGTGTACTAGGAAAATAATTATTTTGCCACTTTGTAATAGGAAATGCAAATTTTATCCTGATAGAGGAGTTTAGATTATATGTTCTTAAAATTCACTCTGACAAGAAACAGTGCTGTCAATTTACTGATTGATTTGCTTTCTGAGTTAATATAGAATTTTAAATATAATTTATTCAATTAAATAAGTATTTATTGAATTCTTACTGGGTGCTTATGCATGTGCCAATCATTTTATGTTCATTAACTCATTTATTGTCACACAACCTCTATAATATAGATACTGTCGTTATCCTTGTTCTATATAAGACAGAATTGGAATTTTGAAGTATTAACCTTCTCCAAGGTCACTGAAATAGTGAGGACAAAACTGAGCTTTGAACTAGCAGTCTAACTTCAGAGTCAATACTCTTGAACATTGTAGATTGTCACTTATAGAATTTCAAAATTATTTATGATTCCAGAAATATTCTAAATAATCTCTGTTCATTTTTGGTAGTTTTATTGAAACACATTACTGTACTGTTCTTCATCTAGGTTTATGTTCCAGATGAAAATAATGCTATTTTGGGAAGGAATACAAATAAACAAGTTTTTGAAGGCTTGACAACTGGACTTCTCAAAGTCAGTGCTGTGGTTTTGGGCTGCCTGATTGCCAATCGACCAGATGGAAACAGCCGGCCAGCTACACCAAAAATATCGACACAGGAAATGAAAAACAAACCCTCACATGGTGATGCTTTTAACAGTCGAGTTCAGGATCTTATCAGGTAAAATTACTAGATTTCTTAAAACTTTATTTTTATTTTTAAAATTATATTAAAATATTTTAAATCTCAGGACTCATATAATGGCAGTGGTTTTTGCAACACAACCCACAGATTCCTGGTAGAGGGTATCAGGGATACTTGCAAATATTTCTCAGATTTTTCACTGTCACTCCATTGCTACTTTTTAACATCAGCTGTTCAGGCTTCCTTGCAATAGCAGATAGCGTGTCTGTCTGTCTGTTTCTCCCCACCTTCTAAAAATAAGTTCTTTTTACTAATTATAAAAGTAATATATGCTCAATGAAAAAAACAATTTGGAAAACACTGAAGAGGCTAGTGGATTTTTTAAAAACACATATTGTAGAAAGAAGGAAAATTATCTTAATGAAAAGCAATACAACTAGAGCTCAGCTATCATTCTTGATATTTAGATATGTGGTATTAGAATATGTAGTGTTGGAACTTTTTCAACTTTCTTGATATCAACTCTTTGAAACTCAAGGAATTTCTGAGAATTCCCCTATTTCAATTCATCGCTGATTATAAATTCAGTTCAGACTTAAATCAACAATGACAGCTGTCATGTATAGAGTACCTGCTATGTGTAAGTTATTGTAGTAGAGGCTCTGCAGCCCTGTAAGTGTAGAATTTCTCATTCAGACTTTGTAGGTGAGGAAATTGCTCAGAAAAGTTAAGTGTTTTGTCCAAGGTTATGTAATAAATGCAATAAAAATAGGTAGGAGAGCCAAGACTGGAACTCATGTCTAGATGGACACCCAACACCTGTATGCTTTCCACTACACAAATGTGGCAATTTCTGACACCTGTTCAAGGTCAGCCCTGCTTCCTTCTAAGGTCACCTTTCTCCAGGGTAATTTACTCCCACTTTGACATCTGAACTCATTTTCCCTAGTGAATTTTGAATCAGGTAGGACATTTTATTTCCCAACAGGGTTTCATCTGGTGTTAATCAGTTACCTCTTCCACCTATCAATAGCTCTTCTATGATCTGCACTTATCTCTGACTCCCAAAATCCATGCAATATATTGTTCTCCAAAGCTTATGGTAGGTTAATAGGAGAAAGAATTTATTCCTCTGCATTTGCTTCTTTCACAATTCATAAATTTCTTCTGCTTTCTTGTAATGCTTTCTTGGGAACAGTTGTCTCACTCGATACCTTCCTTGCCCTTGATTACTTTGTTCACTTATCCCTTCCATCCGCCTGCCGTCTTTCCCCAAGTATATTTATTGCTAGAGAGCACCAGGCCCTTTGGGTCTACAGCCATTTATCTTACAACACTTGACTTTTACCCTCCCTGGCCTTTCCTTTAGTTGCTTGATGCCATTCAATTCCCCATGTCCTTTTGGTCATTGTGAAACTTAGCCCTCTCTGCTGATGAATGTCATTCTGTCCTGGCATTCTCCCTAGGGCTACCCTGTAATGCAGCAACTCTGCATTCTTGTCATTCAGACAACTTAGCCACATGCCTCAGCTCTGATGAGGCGGAAGACCCAGCCAAATGCTTCACTGCAGTTCCAGTTCCTGCAATTGCACTTCCTGGGGAATATTCAAATATTTTCACATATATTATTACAATTACTAAATTATTCTTAAAGGAAGAAGATGCTGAGGGGAAAGTAGCTGTGGTTATCTGCCGAACCAGTAACTCATGTGACTTAAAAAGGATGATCGACAACCATAGTACTTCAAACAAACTCCTGCCAATCTTTCTCTGATTTGAACCACTATTGATGAATACTGTTTTCTTACAGATAGTGCATTGTAAATTGACTTAGTGATGCTTGTGTGTAGATTAACAAACCATATCTCATATCTACCTAGTGTGGCAAACAGAGCATGTTTAGTCATTTCCATACTTGCTTTCTCACCTTCCCAGATATGAACAAACAAGAAATCTCACTCCACTTTTTGTTACAACCTGCACATTTTTGTCAGTTGCAAAGTTGATTAGAAAGTGTTCCAGTACAGTCTTTGGAACTGTTTTCTGGCCTGTATCCCCGAGGTAGAACAGGAACAGACCCTACATCTATCCCTTTCTTCTCCTTACCTGGCATAGGAGAAGCAGAAAGATATCTAAGAAATATGAGATAATTACAGTATTTTACATGGTTCAGTCAAGTTTCTACATCTAAGTGATTCTTGGAAATATTTTTCAATTCAAGAGTAGTCATCTGTACCCATTTTGTGCTAGATACCACACAAGACCCTGGGATACAAAAACAAAAAGACCTTTACAGCATATTCAACTAATAGTATTTGGCTATTGAACATTTGAGGGGGTTTTTTAATTGTTTTTAAAATTGACACATTGTACATATTTACAGGGTACAATTTGATGTTTTGTTACATATATATTACGTAATGATTCAATCAGAATAGTTGGTATATCCATAATCTCATGAATTTATCGTTTGTTTGTGGTGAGAACATGCAAAAGCCTCTCTTCTAGCTATTTTGTAATACAATAAGTCCCCTACATACGAACCTTCAAGTTACAAACTTTAATGATGCACACCTACTTTTTATGTATTCTTTCTTGCCACCAGGTGTCAGTATAACCTGTTAAATACATATAGTACTGTGTAGCCAATTATATTAGTTGGGTACCTAGGCTAACTTTGTTGTACTTACAACAAATGGACTTATGAACATGCTCTCAGAGCCACACTCGTTCATATATTGGGGACTTCCTGTGTACAATGACACTTTTATATTAACCACAGTCACCCTACAATACAGTAGAACATCAGAACTTATTTTTCCTTAATCTAATTGTAACTTTGTACTCATTGACTAATCTATCCTCATTGTCCCTCCCACCAACCCTCCCCAATCTCTGGTAACTACTAACTACTGCTGTACTCTCATTCTATGATACCACCTGTTTTTTAAAAATTCCATTTATGAGTGAGTTTATGCAATATTTGTCTTTCTGTGCCTGGCTTATTTTACTTAATACAATGACCTCCAGGCCCATGATGTTGCTGCAAATGACAGGATTTAATCCTTTTTTTAATGACTAAGTAGTTTTCTATTATGTATGTATACCACATTCTCTTTATTCGTTCATCTGTTGTTGGACACTTAGGCTTATTCCATATCTTGGCTATTGTGAATAATGCTGCAATAAACATGCGAGTGCAGATATCTCTTTGACATACTGATTTCATTTCCTTCTGGTATAAACCCAGTAGTTGGATTACTATATCATATTTTAGTCCTATTTTTAATTTTTTGAGCAGCCTCCATACTGTTTTCCATAATGGTATACTAGTTTACAATTCCACCAAAAGTGTTTTAAGTGGTCCCTTTTATTCACATTCTCACTAAGACTTGTTTTGTTTTGTCTTTTTGATAATAGACATTCTAACAGAGGAAGCTGGTATCTCGTTGTGATTTTGTTTTGCATTTCCTTGATGATTAGTGATATTGAGCAGTTTTTCATATACTTGTTGACCACTTGTATATCTTCTTTTGAGAATGTCTATTAAGATTTTTTGCCAATGTTTATTGGATTATTTGGGTTTTTGCACTTAGTTATTTAAATTTTTTATATATTGTGGATATTAACCCCTTGTCAGATGTATAGTTTACAGATATGTTCTCCCATTCTGTAGGTTGCCTCTTCACTCTGTTAGTAATTTCCTTTGCTGTGCAAAAGCCTTTTAGTTTGATATAATCCTATTTGTCTATTTTTGCTTTTGTTGCCTATGTTTTTGAGATTTTATTTTTAAAATCTTTCCCAGCCCAATGTCACAAAGCATTTCCTCCGTGTTTTCTTCTAGTACTGTCATAGTTACAGGTTTTACATTAAGTCTTTAATCCATTTTGAGTTGATTTTTATATGTCATGAGGGTAGGATCTAGTCTCATTTTTCTGCATATAGATATCCAATTATCCCAGCACAATTTGTTGAAAAGAATGTCCTTTCCCAATTGCGTGTTCTTGGCAAATTTGTCAAAAGTCAGTTGGCTCTAGGTGCATGAATTTATTTATGGGCACTCTATTCTGTTCCAGTGATCTGTGTGTGTGTTTTTCTGTCAGCACCTTGCTGTTTTAGTAACTATAGCTTTGTAGTGTATTTTGAAGTCAAGTAGTATGATACCTTCAGCTTTCTTCTTTTTGCTAAGGATTGCTTTGGTTATTCTTTATCTTTTTGGTTCTATATGAATTTTAGAATTGTTTTTTCTATTTCTGTAAAGAATTTCTGGTATTCTCATAAAGTGTAGATCACTTTGTGTAGTATGGCCATTTTAACAATATTAAATATTTTTCTATAAAGAAAACTCTGGGTGCAGATTGTAAATTCTGTGAAACATTTAAGGGAGACATAATGCTAATTACACACAGACTCTCCCAGAGGAGCTTGTTTTCTGTTGCCAATATAACCTTAATACCAAAATCTGACAAAGATATTTCAAAAAAAGGAAATTACAGAGCTATATTCCTCATGAACAGAAATGTAGGAATCCTTAACAAAATATTAGCAATCAAATCCAGAAATATATAAAAAGGTAATACATCATGACCAAGTGAGGTTTATTCTAGGAAAGTAAGGTTAATTTTAACATTCCGATGTTGCCATGTTAATTTGCCCAGGATCATAAAAGGTTATAATTACTCTTCTTGCAAGCTAACAAGTTAGCCTGCCATACTTTCATGAATGTTCACAAAAGATACAAGATTCCTGGGTCAGAAACAAATGTCCTCATTACTCACAGACAGCAAGCAGTTTGAGGCTTGTATTCTCATCAGTCTTACTTGCCCCAATGTCCCACAGGAACAACACCAGGAAGAGGGGGCAGATGGATGCTTCACATTCAGGGAGTTTGCATCACAGCTGAGAAGACCCCCTAAGCTTAGGAAAATCCAATCTTTTATAATGGGCTGAAAGTAGACCCATTCAACCTTTGTCCAGGAGGTAGACACTCTCTTTATTACACCGGATAGCCAACTTACCCGCCCTTTGATCTAAAG